CAACCACATATATCATCTTCCAAAATCAATTTCACAACAAAAAAGGCCCATCACTATAATCAGCTATTGTTTTGCTAATTCTACGGTTTAGCCATAGTCAACTGTACAATTCTCCAATCACTAATTAGTTCAACAAGTAGTTGTATTAAAATATTTAGATTCAAACAATTATAAACTTAAAAGTCAACGTGTTTGCTATGTATAGGAATAATTCGTACCATAGAACCTCGGTGGCATCATGTTTGGTACAAGCAGTGTACACATTGGAACGAGACAGGCAACAAAACCGGATTGGTCTCAAGTCACAAGCCAATCATTGGTGGGAGTTTTTCAACTTCACTTTAGCCGAAACTCTAATTGACCAATCAGACGGTTCCATATACGGCGCCGTTTTCGCGTACAAAATCTTCTCATACAATTATTACCATAATATCCCTCACTCGAAGCCTCCTCCTCGTCACGTGATCGCGTTCCGTGGCACGATCATGAAACGCCACTCTCGGTCACGTGACCTTAAACTCGACCTACGTTGCGTCCGCGACTGCCTCCAAGACAGCACAAGATTCGTGCATGCTATAGAGGTGATCCAAACCGCGGTGGCTAAAAACGGTAATACAGCCGTATGGCTCGCCGGGCATTCTCTCGGAGCCGCCGTGGCTTTGCTTGCCGGGAAGATCATGACGAAATCTGGTTTTCCTCTCGAGTGTTACTTATTCAATCCTCCTTTCTCGTCGATTCCGATAGAGAAGCTAGTGAAGAGCGAGAAGCTTAAACATGGAGTTCGTTTCGCCGGAAGTGTCGTCAAAGCCGGAGTAGCAATGGCCGTCAAGGGTCGCCACCATCTTAATAAGGTACTCTCATTTTTATAATAGAGTATATACATTTAAATATAATGCATTAAATCACATTAACATGATATGGTGCTAAATCACATTTCACTTGTATCTAGGTTATTTGGTAATAATCTCGTAATAAATTGTATGTGAATCACATTTCACTTGTATCTAGGTTTTTTTTTGTTATCTTGCAAATTAACCCTAAATTGTATGTGAATTATTTACAGGGTCAAGAAGACGATTCTTTTATGAAACTAGCAACATGGATACCATATTTGTATGTGAATCCGTCAGATCCAATATGCTCAGAATACATTGGTTATTTCAAGCACAGAAACAAAATGTTTGAGATTGGAGCTGGCAAAATTGAGAGGATTGCTACAAGGAACTCACTTAGGAGTCTGTTGTCCGGAGGAGGAGGAGGAAGTTCATGTTCGGATTCTTCATCAGAGCCTCTTCATCTTTTACCATCGGCGTATATGACGATAAACACTAGCAAATCGCCGGATTTTAAGAGAGCTCATGGGATTCATCAATGGTGGGATCCTGTGTTTAATGGAGAATATGTTTTGCACCAGTTTAATCAGTGACTTCTGTTTTTCGTTGCTTCAAATGTTTGCTAAAAATACTCAGTATCATCATATGATTAGTATTTAAGGTATTTATCATTCAAGATTTTCTTTAAATTAACAACAATTAAAATTTTACAGTTTCACCAAAACATCTTTGATCTGTAAATTAACCTAACTAATTATCAAGAAATCTCGGAAATATATTGGTATTGGTAGAGTGGTCCCCATTTTCAATAATCCACACAGTTCGATTTGGTGTGTTGCATCCATGGAAAAAAAAAACTGATAACAGATTAAGGATCATGTTTTAGATCTGTAGCCTAACTAAGTGTTCTCACAATTAGTTCTCACCAATTAATCAAGAAGCAAATAGAAGAAAAACATTTTCAAATTAAAATAATAAGATTAAAGTAGAGTAAAATTCCTCACTATCCCCCACTATCATTTTTCTCCCTTTTTTAAAAAAAATTCCTATAATTGGATGAACCTA